GCACCAAAACATAATTACATGCAACTAAACTTTTGATATTTTGACTCAAAAGCTTTTCTACACATGATGGTAATCAACAGACAGGTGCTAACAAAAACAATGCAGGTAGGAAGTTTTATTTTTGCTGACAAGATCAACAGATGCATTTATCACCAACAATGAATAGACAAGCAAGTACTTCAAAGTCGGCTTCACACCAAACAAAACAGTTTGGCAAAGTAATGATGAATATTTATTGCTGCCAAGTTTTCATTGCAATTTATGCATGACACAGGTATCACGATTTTAAATCATTCACTGTTCATACAGAAGAGGAAGTTCATACATACTGTGTCCATACATAATTACCCCATACTGTGAAGTTCAGTGTTATTTGCCCAGTCTTTAATAGGAGATTTCTTAATGATACACATACACATAAATACAGAAACATAGTTAAGAAATAGTCCTATGCTTTGCTAATTTTAGCTTCACTAGAAGTAGAGCCTTCTGCAGTCAAGTCATTCGTTTGGCGAGTACGGGTCTGGTGCTTAAGGAATTTCATATATTTATTCAGGAGAGTAGGAAGTCTTGTTCTTAAAAACATCATAATATTCATAAAAACCTTACTCTGACAACCAGTGTCTTTAAAAGTAAAATTAATGCTGGGAGGTTCTTTCACAGGCTGAAAATCGCACTGAAAGGATACGATAGGTTCAGCAGGCAAACCCTTGTGTACACAAGCTGCATGCATGACCTCTGAAACCATTTCTTCAATTTTCAGGCAGTCCATGTTCGATGGGATGGTAAGCCCTTTCTGTACCTTCCGTCGTCCCTCCCACAGTCGGTAGCTGCCTTTGCAGTGTAGTGTGTGCATGTCCGTCAACTGGGCGTTGTTGGTCGGCACATGCACATCAGACGGAGCGCCCACCTTCTGAACCTTTGCTGCTGTCTGCTCCGGAGGGTCCTCGCGAACACTCAGCTTCAATATTTTATCAAAAAATCCAATGACAAGTTTATACACTAAACCAACCCACCGCTCAAAGATCACTGCAGGAGTTAATTCAGAAGTGGCAACGTCTTCTGTATTACCTATTAGATATCCTATGGATAAAGTTTCTTCTGCCAAATAGGTCAAAGTCATTTCAGCATTTGATATACAATAGTATGTGCCCTTTGTCTCGACCTGTGTCATTGGCTTTTTGTTGAATAAATCATTTAAAAATGCAATTCTCTTTTCTTCTGGATGTTTTAATACCTCAGCAAAGATAGCAACTGCAAGATCACAATGGGCCAAGAAAGCTTTTAAAGCTTTACTGCCCATACTTGCTGTGAGGTTGTGGGTTAATTCAAACGGATCCTGAACAACCATATCTGTACTTATTCTTAAGCCAAGTTTACCTTCAGGGATATTAAGATATTGTGCTTTTATGGTTTCTGGTAGATTCTCTGGCTGAAGAAAGAGTACTTTAGGTATAGTTGTGGCTGATAAAGTACATAGCACCATGTTATGTATGTCAAAGTCCCTGTAGAACTTGAAAAACCCAGCAAGGAGTTCACAGAGGGAAGACTTATTCTTGGAGGCCTCTATTGCCTTTGGATCAGCTGAAAAGCTGCAAAGCCAACCATCCACCCGTTTTTCCTCTTTGCACAGCTCCTGCAAATGCTGCACTGTTGGCAATACAGGAGGATCCAATTGCTGAAGATAGAAAACAGCAATGGTGACTAGAGCATAATTTGACATCTTGCCGCAGCCCGAAAACTCATGCTTACGGGCCCAGTACTTAATGATCATTAAATACGGATAAACCCGAGAATCAAGAGTTAAGTAATGTTGGATGAGCTGACTATTTGCAACACCCAGCATGTTCTGGAAGGATACATCACAGCAGACTTGAGTAGGCCGATGCACAAATTTTACAATCGGTGTTTTCGCTCGGGTGATGGCTCGTACTCTTCGAAAATAGTTTGAGTTTTGAAGCATGAGCTTCTGACCGATGCGAACTAATTTTTCAGGTTTTGGCAATGCTGAAAGTTCATTGCTTGCAGGAGATTCTGGTTCCACTGTGAACAAATTAATATTACGCACATTAATAATGTCACAAAATTATAATACAATAAAACAACTTTATAGCCTACAATCTCCCATAAATTTTCACTAAGTAATATCCTTAAAAACTTCAAAGTACATTAGACTTTCTTCTAGTGCCTCTCACTATGTTTTGTTTTTTATATTCCGATTGTAATCCCAGAAATCCAAGATTTTTTAATGCTTTCATACAGGTCTTGCCAATATGTAACGTGGGAATTCCTAATCTTTTTCTTTCATCAAACCCTTTAAGGAACATTTTGCTGAAAATGACATTTCATTAAAATCCTCCCCTATTTATTATAATATTTTTGGTTTCTTCATACCAAAAAACAATTAATTAATAGGTTCATTAAATTTTTTGGTAATCAATGGGATTTTGATTATACCTATCAGTCGCAGGTTCATATTCGGCTTTGGACTCCAATCAACCACTTCACCAGCATGGACACCCTCCAAAATTTCATCGTCCCCAAGGAGTTGATACTGTCCCCGTTGGGACCCCCTGATGTATTGTACTGTATTCCCATTCTTATAACAAGTCCAAACTTCAAAGACATTAAAAATTCATAATGAAAAATCACAGAAATTTATTTATCCAAGATTTTACAGAAAAAGCACAATAACTTTCTAAATTACAACATGTTACCCTTATTAACGATCACCAAGCAAAATCGAAGTTTTCAAGTGCAGAAGTTGAAAATAGTTACATAAATGACAATTTTTGAAAAAATATTTAATTTTGAACATGCCTTTTTAAATGTCAAAATGCAATACACAATATTCAGTGCAAGTTTTAGAATCGACTTGATTTTCCACCCCATCATCTTTCAAAGGAATTAAACTGAGGCACTTTTTGTAAATTACTTTTTTTGTCATTGAAATTTGAGAAATATATTTTTATTATCTCAGGTGTGTATGTAGTAACTTCTTTTCCAAAACAAACTGTCACTACAGCACAAACCACAGCATTTTCACCAAAATGGATATTCCTGGATCAATCTGAATGATGTAATGACCTCTTGTAGCAAAAAGTAGCCTTAAAATTAAGGCTACTTAAGAAGGTTTGAAGACATTTTCAAAATTTTCACATACAGGATTCCAAACTTGTTAAAAATATGAGCAGTTTTCTCACAATTTTGAGTGAATTCAGACAATTAAATAGATGTATTTTCTTGTTAAAACTTTTTTTTGCAACTTCATTATAAAAATAAAATTTAAACATACTACAGTTGCCCAACCTTTACATACAAAAAAGATACATGAACAAGTATCAATTAAAATACTGGTTTATTTTTTTGTCATTACAAAGCAAACAAATTTTTGTTTTGTTAGTTTTAATTATTGTCAGTCTGAAGAATTGTGCCACAATAATTAATGTAAATGCTGGAAGGATTGTATAGTAACATTCGATCATTTCACCAATATACTTGTAGGTGCATTATCAAAAATGTATGCGCTCTACTTTCTCGCTTCCACAGTGGAGGGAAAATTATGTAATGCAGCGTGGAAAAACAGTGAATTTTTGGCAGAAAAACTTATTACAGAACAACGGTAAAAAAAGTGGATCAATCCAGATACTAAATTTACTATTAATTAAAAAAAGTCCTCTAACACGTGAAGCCAGAATCCATCTTTCGTGAGTCTCTTATATTGAAAAATCACTTCATGGTAAAATATGTCTATCTGTCCATTTGTGAAGAACGCTAACGGCTAACCCGTTCTGCTGATTTTCTAAAAAATTGTTATTCCTGAATTGATCTTGGCTGATGTTGCGACCCCTTGCATTTAAAACTGTTCTTTTAATTTTGATGATATTTTACGTGGAACTCCTCCAACATTAAAGAAAAAAATTGCTCCATCGTTTTTGATGAAATTTTGTTGTTGGATGGTGTAGGTATCATTTTCATTCTAATTTTTCAAAAATTGCAAAAATTCAATAGGTTTTCGGCATCTTCCTTCAAGTAAAACATTTAAGATAGAGATTTTTTCCCTTAATGATATCTGTTCTTTAAAGAGAAATAATCAAATAAGATCATATACCTTTTTTTTTGTTGTTGTTGAAAATTAAGAGTATTTTTCATGTAATGTTCCTTACATATAGGCAATTTTAAATTTTGTTCCAACAATTTTTTTTCTCAAAAAGCATTCCATCGCTTTTGATGTATCTACACAACTAATACAAAATGTATATTTACTAATTATATTAATAAAATTGTTCTCTTTCATAACCATCACAAATATTAACATATTTGTTATATTTAACATTGTTAGAAATAAAACTGATTCATTAGTTCTTCATGAAAAGCCCCCAAAATACAATTTCTTTCAAGCCTGAAACTTTGAGAAATTATTGAAAACACTCTCTACTTGTAGTTAATTTATTTAGACAATAACATATGCTTTTTACAGGCACCAAAGTATTAAATAAACAAGATTTTTTAAATTCCATTATGTTATAAATAGAGCCAGGAAGAAGAGATGATAACTACAGATGCCATAAACAAGTGATGTGAGTCAGAGGTCAAATGCCTTTAGATCACCCACTTCCCCAAGCATGTATGAAGTGGTTGTATGCCTTTGTCTTCCACAGTATGGATGTAAGGAACATAATTATACCTGGGACAAACCCATCTTTAATTGCAACTTAAACAACTAATCTGTACATTAGTTTGATGTGGGTGACCTCTAAGTCCTTCTTCATCCACTCCTCCTCTTAGAAGATTCACCTGAACACATAATTAAACATTTATTTATAATTTACTAACGAAACTGAACTCCATAATCAAATATTCTACTGTATGTATTAGCACCATAGTAAGTAACTAACTTATTCTATAGTACACTTTCTAGTTCACAATGCCTGACAACATTAATCACTATGTAAATATTTCTAGAAATTTAAAAGCGTTAGCATTCATTTATATAAAGTTTCCAGTAAAAAATAATTTTTTTAGTTCTTATTGTATTTCTATGAAAAGTCTTTAAAGCTGTTTTTTTTTCTCGAACACAATAGCTTCTGCTTAAAGCAAATTATATGTTTCACTGTCTCAAGTAAGTCCTAAATTCAATTTTTTTCAAATTAAGACTTACAAGAAATGTTCAAAATTTCATCACCTTAACGTCTTTGAATACACATTAAACAGTAACAGATGCCCATGAAAACAGTAATATAACACACACGCACACCAAAAAAAAACAACTTTGTATTATAATTTACATAATCTTCGTAATTACCTGTATTTAAACTACCACAAACTTTAATTTTAACTCCTATGTACATAATAATAATAAATTGAGCAAGTGATAATAACCTTTACGTAAGTATATTTTATTGGCAGGTGTCTTTTGTGTAAAATTAACTTTTTCTGTCACAGTGCAATTTCTCTTTCCAACTTGCACATTTCCTCTTTCTTGGATGACCAACTGATCCTGGTGTTTATATCTACATTTGTTAATGGAATCAACGCCAATCTGAAAATATCTCTCTCCTTAATAATCATGGTTTTTCTTTCTACAGAGTTTATCAATACCTTAATAAAATATGTTGTGCATAGAGTGACTTCACTTACCTGTAAGTACTCTGCAAATTGCAAAATCAATTCTGATTTTGTGATGTATATTTAGTCTTCACCTGCTTCTTTAAATTAATATATTACAAGTTTAAAATTTACTTTTGTAACAAATCCTGGAGGCTGATGATCTTGTAGGATTGCAAATTTGGACTTTGTGGGTCTGTGGATTTGGCTATAGCTAATTATAATTATTTCACTAACTTCTAGCAACTATTTGAATGTAAACTTATTAACAATAATTAACTACATACATCTTAAAATAACAAAATCTAACTTCAAACTAAGTAAGTAAAATTAAGTAACTAAAAGCTCACGCAATATCCACTACATACTGCAGAACAAATCCAAATGAAAGTAATGGATCTGAAAACACCAAGACTAAGTCCTCATTTCAGAAAACGTCAATGGAGAGGTAAGTACAATAAAGGCCAGATTAAACATTTCGTTTTTGCTGCCAACTCGCCGTCAAAAATTAAGACGACTTGCAATATGGAATCATTATATTTTATTAGTAAATAAATATTTGCTGATTTGGAGGTTAAATATTACTCACTTCTAGCTTGTCCTTTCACAATTATGGGAATAGTGTAGGGAAATAGTATAAAAACTTTCAGCATCTAGTGCCAACTAACTTTAAGCATTATTATGTACACATTAGGACTTTATATTCACGTAAACAATACAATGATTTCTTGCTTTGATGAAAGTTGCTAAATAATAAAATCGATTGTCCCACTTTATTATCAAAACACAATTGGAAGATACCACAACTAAGTACTAGAAATAATGATAAAATTACATTTTTTGTACCATTTGCTAAATCTAATTTAGGCTTACATTCTCCATTATGGCAAATGAGTAAAATGGCTAATGTGAAATTACTGTATTTTTTATACCAGAAACTCACTATATTAGATTTGCTAAAATTAAGTGTTTAAATGTATTTAATTGATATTAACACTACACATTTTGTTACATATTGTATTTTGGGCAATTGCCTGTTTAATGAATAAATGAAATTATTATAATAAATTTACTATAAGTCAATCATAGATAAAAACAGGAATTAATAATAAATTGACTAGTGTATTTTTAATTTTCTACGCAAATAACAGCTACATGCCTGAAATTAATCTGCTTGTTAATCAAGTTGTTAATTAAGTGCCTTGCATAATTATTATATCAGGTGGAAATTTTCTATAGTTTAACCTGTTAGTTGCATCTCCTATTGTGCTCTACAGCCCATACAATACTCCTTCCTTGTATTTTTTGTAACCGATATGAAATATTATATTATTGCAATTTTTCCCTGAAAAAAATTATCCCTTTGCTCTTCAGGTAGATGAATTAGTGATAGCCATTCATTTACCAAGCAGCCTGATGTGTGTGTACCAATATTTGAAATACAATAATTGGAACCTTAGAAAATACTCATGATTTAACTCAAAATTACTCTAAAAGCACTAATTCCACAAAAAATGTAAATGAAATGATTCAAAGTTCTAATGTTCAAGAACAGATTGCATTAAAAATAAATGCCTAGTTTCAATACTGTGTAAGAGAAGTTAAACAAATTAATTTTTTTTTTTTTTCTTCATTTCTTAAGTTTTAATAAAAATTGTTGGGGCTTCATCTTAAGTACTCTCAAATATTACAAAATCCATTTTAAATTTGAGCACAGAAGACATGCATTCAGATCAACTTGGAAATAAGCATTTTGGTGAAAATCCAATGTACAATATAGGGCACCAGCATTGTTCACAGAGACAAGACAGACATATTTGAGAAAAATCACTATTTCAATATTAAGGACTCAAAAAATGTGGATTTTGATGTTACTGTGTATTAGGATATAATTTACTAAATATAGAAGAAAGAAAAATCCACTTTTGCAGTACCGGAAACCCTCAAAAAGTGTTTTATGGTTGAAAAATAAGCTCTTTTTCCTGCCGCAACACAAAACTTTCATTTACTAAGAAGTAGATATGAGAAATTAAAAACCAAGAAAATATATAATCCTGAAATGAGATTTAAGAAAGATTACAATGACAGACTTTCTGTACAAACATATAATAGTAACATTTAATTATAAGTAATCCTGCAAAGATAGGAGGGGAATTCACAAAGTTCTCAGCAAAATAAGCATTTGTTTCAGTTTCAACCACATAAATTCATCAGAATCTTCAACTCAAAAGCTATTTTTTCAAATTCCGGAACAGAAAGAAATCACTGGGCGGTAAATCAGGCAAATATGGTGGATGGGGAAACACTTCGAAGCGGAGGTTTTAAGTTTTGCAATGTCAATGCCAGATGAGTTTGAAGGTGTACTGTCACAATTGAACTTTCTTCTTTGCAAAATGTACACATTAACTTTAATAGCAACTTCCAGTAGGTGCAGCCTAGTTCTACTCCCCAGTGATAGTTTTGCACTTCTAGAGGTAGTTTACAAGTGCCTCTCCTTCAGAATCCCAAAATATCGTAGCCATAATTTTCCTTGTAGATTGAGCCATTTTTGCTTTCTTTGGCACTCTTTCATTTAAGCCCACACATTTTTTTTGGCTGTTCCTTTCTCTCTGGCATGTGATGATGAATCCGTGTTTCATCTACTGTCAAACAAACTCACTGGATTGTCTTTAAACAATAGTAAACACTGTTCAGGAATGTTCATTCAAATAAGTTTTATGTCAGTCATTAACAAACATGACATGCAGAAAGATTTGTCATACCCAAAACTTGATGCTAATTTTGTTGAGATTTTTGGGCATCCTAAGTGCTCATCTTCTTCAAATCGATGAATAACCGTATAGAAATTCCACATTTTTTGACCTTTGAAAACAAAGGAGGTGTATCCTACAATGATGTCTAATTCCTTTTTAATGTCTGTTGGGGTTAAACCTTTCAAAATGAAGAATTTTATTATAGCTCTTAATTCAATTTTCTTCTTTTTTTAAACACAACTTGACACACTTCTCTATCTACTGAATCACAGGAAGAAAACAAACGAATGTGCGTGATTCAATCTTTACAACGCTCCATGTAAAGGATCATAGACAATTCTTATCAAAAAATCTTAGCTATCCTCACACCATATGTGGGTTAGGTCACGAACTTTTAGAACTTCCCTCTAATTAAACATCATATCTCCTTTCGGTAAACTAGACGTCAAGTGACCCAACTCCCTTTTCCTTGTGAAACCATTAATACTACATAAAACATTAAAATTCTTGACGAAACTACATTACCTACTTACATATTTCCACGTATACATCTATGTCACTCCCTTTCATGTTTAATCCAGTTCTTGTAGATCCAAATGGGTGAACATTTACTTTAGGAAATCTTATTTCAAATAACGTTTTCAAGTCCCCCAAGACATGTTCATAAAGTGCTTTCTCTTCTGGCGAGGCCTCCAGCTCACGCAACAGGGCTCCCAATGTGCCTCCAGATGTAAGTACAGCAGACACACGTTTATTATCGATGCCAGGCAAGGTGGGCTCTAAAAAGAAGGTACACTCAAAATGAATTTGCCTTTTGGCACTCGCACACGAAAACTTAGCAGGAGAACCGTGCTAATTCGAACTGTGCAAATACAAAATTTCAGATAATCTGAGCAAACTTCAGGATGGAGGAAATATATTAAAAAAAAAAAAAAAATGCTTATTTGTAGTGTATTTTACAATTACTGCATATTTACCTTTTTGAGAGGCAGGTGATGCTGCTGCTGTTGCGGTTACAGCGGTTGTGGCTGCAGGTTGGTGAGCTGGGGTCATCAACGGTCGTCTTCTATTGATTTTTAATCTTCTGCCATTGAAAAATACACCTCTTTCATTATTTAACAATGAATCTGCAACAGATCTGTAAAATACAATACTTCAATTAATTGGATTGAATGAGAAATATCACATTTCAAAATTCAATCCATATTATTAACAATAGACCTTGTTTGTACAAATGTGGTATTTGCCACTGTTCCATCCCAGAACAAGACGCAATACTACAAGAACTAAACAAAACTAGATCGTAAAAGATTTTGGACACTAAAGAATTTGTTCGAAGTTCTGACTTCTATCATGTCAGTTATAATATTAGGCAAGCTTTTTAAATTATGTATTTACAAAATATGCTTCTCCGGAGAAATAACAACTTGTAGCCCTTCTTGCAACCTTTAACTACGTCTCTAAAAAATATATAATTTCGAATTTAATAGGTTTACCATTTATCCCTCATTTTAGCTCAATTACCATCTTCAAGAGTTGTGTCAAAATGACAAAATGATTATTCTTGTGTTGTTGACTTGAAAAATTTCAATCAATAACCAACCACACATTCAGCACGTCTTCAACCTCAAATTGAGACCAATCACATTCCCAAACCAAACACTTTGTAATTGAAGCCAGATATTGATATTCATTCAAAGCACATTCAAATGGAAAGCATTAAATAATATGAAAGACAAGCTTTTGATTCCTTGATTTACTGGTATTAATGGGTTTTGGTTAAAAACCCAAGGAAATTTATACTTTTCCTCCTCCTCCTTTTTAATCCTCACCTTCTCCACAATTTGAACATCTATTCTCAATTTGAATGCAATAATTCGTATGATTATGCATGATTTAACAATATGAGGTTAAAAAGGTGTAGTTGGTTGAAGATAATATTTTGTTAATAGGTTTTGAACATGAAACCTACACAATTGAAATTGGTTACATTGAAGAATCTCCATAACAGGGTTTTAAATTATTGGGAGCTGTGGGGAAAGATTTTTCATTTTTTTCACATTTTTCCCAACTGCTTGATATAATGCCTAGCCCTTAGTCTGTCCTCACAAATAGTTTGATGAAATACTAACCAACAGAATCTTTTGGCAAAAAAATAATTTCTCTGCACACTCAAACTTGTTACTAGAGAGAGGATATTTTCAAAGTTAGGGTTTCTCTAAAGGAGAGATAGAAGGCTCAAGGAAACCTCATTTAAACCCATGGCCATAATTTAAAGATTTCAGAACATGGTTGAAGACACTGGGCATTAAAATCTTTTAAATTTTTGGGCTTATAACAGAAACATCTATCTTAAATTTAGTGTCACATCTAGTGACTACTTTGCCTAGAATTTATTGTTGATTTTGAAAATGTTTTAAAATGCAAGTTTAAAATCAATTTTCATACAATTTTGGGATATTATTGCCCCCATGGAAATATCCAAATGCAAATATTTTAAAATGCACTATTTTATTTAAAAGAGTAATAACTTCTCTTGATGTCAAATTAAACTTGCCAGATGCCTGACTAACTCCATCCACCATTTCATAGCAACTCAACCATCTTGTGTTATTTAGATGATAATTAAAGGAAAAATTAAGACCATCACCCCCACTTTCAAATACATCAATCAAGCATTTTACATTTTCAAACTAATGTAATTTTGTTAAGAAAAGAATAGAAAAGCAAGCTATACATAGCATTGAACATGATGATCAATTTACAAAAAACATGGATGACAGTTGAGCAAACAACAAGGCACTCAATTTGCTGTTCATCATAAACTCAGAACTACACTGCACATGAATCTTCAGCGATTTATCTCTACACTTAATTTACAGCACAGCAATGATTTACTTTGGAGACGTATGAAACAATATCATTAACACTTCTAACTTATTCTTCAATTTATTAAAACTTGTAAATGAGTAAAACACACTTCTCTCTGTAAGTGGCAAGAACAAAGCGTTTGTCAACATTGTGATAAAAATCAATGATTTCTCCAAAGCGCTCCAAAAATGTCTGTAGGTTTTCTGATCGAATCTTGTGGGGGAAACCTGTGAACAAATGAAACAGTTGTTAGAACCTTTGAATGCCGATAATACAAATTCACTCGTTTATAACTAAGAACCTGCAATGAATAGTCCATTCTCCTCCCGTTTGCGAAGAACTTCTGCACGATGCTGATTGTATTGATGCTTCTTCCCAGCAACATGAATTTCCCAAGTTTTGAGGTCTCCAAACTCGATATTACACACAGGGCATCCGAACTATAAAACAAGCGATTTTTACGACGCACTTAATTGTCAAGTTGTAATATGCCATAACCCTTCAAGAATACGTAGATATAATATATAATTACTCTGTAAGATAAGCACAAATTAATGTTTATAGGTTAAAACATACCTTTCCTTTATTCATTGTTGTCAATGTTTAATAAAACAGCATTAGTTGGAAAAATTATACGATTCAAATTATTATCCGAAATGCAATTCGATGCCAGACAGCAGCATCAGTGCGAATAAAATTGGCCCATCGCTAAAATGTAGCATTTGAAACGTATCAAATCACCTACACCAGCAAGTTCACGTTCTGCGACTGTAGCAGGACTGTAGTTCCACGAGTTCCACAATGCAACCACACAACACTGGTAAACATACACCTAACGATGCATTAATAGATGTTCTTGGTTAACCCATGATCACAGAATAAATACGTTATTTGCCCAAGTTGTCTATTCTCAATTTAATTATAGTGACTTCTGAAGTTCATTTAGCTGAGACTTGGTTACCCAATCGGAAGTTTCAATACAAACAATAACACTAAATTAAAACTATTCCGATTACATTACTGCGCTAAGCACATCACACATCAGAAGTCACTGTAATGAGTCAGGGGAATGTTAAAAAATCATGATCATGGGATTCATTATCGTTCCAGAGAGTATTGTATCCGAGAGTGTGTTATATATCATTCTGTAAACCATAGTGGAAGTTTTTCCACCATGCTGTAATGGAAGGACAACGGTATCATGGATGAATAGTGTTAATTTTGACGGTATGCTCGTTTTGCGGTTTCCCCATAAACGTCGTGGATGGAATGAAAAATAAAGAAGCATTTACTCATATTAGCTTTTTACGATTTTGAGCATTTGGTCTGAGTAATTTTTCGGACCAGTGAGCATAGGTAATAAAGCGTAAGTAGATAATGTAAATTAATTAAAACTAAGTTTAATAAAAGTCTATAGTCAGACATTACTTACATAGTAATTCTTAGCGTGATGTCCGTGTCAAGTATATTCACCTAACGCGCTTATAATTCTGGCTTTGATTTCCAATAGGCACTCGAGATTTTGTATTTCTGCATTGAGACACTTGCCAGTACTAGAATTAATATAAAACTAAAACTAGGTTTCAAAAATACGATGATCGCACTTCAGCACTTTGCAACAAGTATTATTGTACACACGTTTTACTCTAATCTTATAATCTTACTTGTTATTGCTATTACTACTAGTGATATTCTAGTCAAATTCTTTTATTTCAAAAATTTCACTAACCTGGTAAATATTGCTATCTTACAAACACCCATATTTACAACAACGCTTGCAGAATAACTGCAATAATTGCAGTTTATGCGGCGAAGATTAATACACACACCTTGTACAGCAAAAAAAGGGACAGAAACAGGGACTTTCCGCCAGAACTGCCAACTTCACACCAAGGACTCGTCATATGTTCATTTTGAATCAACAAACCTAATATGAAATGAAAATAAATTCCCCAAAATCATAAATAATGCATTTAATACTCTCTAAAATTGAACTTGTGTACTTTCAATAACACGCGAAAATCAATTAAGTTGCAACTAGTGTTCCAAGAAAGAAAATTGGTATTCCCGTCGGACGGCGCACCGGGCCTTGCGACAGGGCCGCACCAGCGTGCGTCACAATATTGGCGGGAATTTTAAATGCAGCTGGAAACCGAAACTATCATTTTCTTGCAAGTCATTGTAACAGATATGAATTTTTTTTATTATTGAATCTTTTATTTTAATTGCACCTTCATCGTGTTAGTTTTGGTTGGTCATTGTTGAAAAATGTCACTTTATGCCGCTTTCAAAATCTGCCTCAACACTTCTCTCTCTCCACGCCACATGGCGACCAACGTCTGGTCTGACGTTTTCACGGAGATTATAATATAATTTGAATACTGTGAAGAACGGGTAAGAGAACGGCGCAGATATCATATTCGTTAAAAATCCTGGTTTTTCGAAACTTGAAAAATTCAAACTCTTTTGCCACAATTACAATTATGAAGATAAACGTTTTCTTAAAAGACTTATATTCATTAAAAACAGGAATAAAAATAATGACATGTTCAATTTTTCAAAAACTTCAGAACTTTGTGTCAACCATACACAGTTTTTATTTTCTTTAAGATCTGTTATTTTCTCAAAGCAGGTAAATATCTATCACAGGAGATACCTCGACCTCCTGAGAAAGTTAGAAAGCAAATTATTGAGAACGTTGCGAAGGCATGACTGATATTCCAGAGATTGGCATTGCTTCATAAAATCTAGTGGCCGAATTCGTAAGTAATACCCCCACTCTACCCGCATTTCTTCAATCCATCGTCCAAGAAAAGTTGCGCGAGTAATATTAGACAAGTCCTAGCGCAGTACTTTCGATTAGACGAGCAGCATACCTCGCTAATTCAAATTGAATAAGAGATGTCATGCAAATGTCATACTCATGCAACTACTTTACTCACGATCAATCTGCTTCAGAAAGAAAAAATATGTCATCCCAATGCTGAATAAAGATTTATTCTTCCTCTTCTTTGGAACACAAAACCGGATGATTCGTATAAATAGGTTCGCGTAAAATTCGGATCACTTTTCATAAGCTGTAACTATTTTGCAAACGTGGGTGGTTCGTTTCTCAAGGTAGATTAACTACAAAGTCGTCGTATGCTTCAATCGCAGGTTTCTTCAGCTTTATTGTCTTCTCTGGTGTTTGCAGTAGTCCCTTCACCTCTTTCCTGAGCTTGAATACACTGAAAATGAATATTCCAGTGAACTTTGCCGCAAGTTCAGCTATTTGCTTCACTGGTCACCAGGGATTCCTATGCAATAACGAATTGAAAACGTTCAGAACGATGCGTTTTCCACCACATCTAAGAAAATTTTCACTCGTGTTTAATTACTGAAGGCCAGCCTCACTCATTCTAAAACGAACGGAATGGCAGAGCCTCGCAGGCCGGTCAGCGGCCCACGCGCCTGACCCATGTCAGTCAGCACGTTCGTGGGCTCATCTGTCACAATCACATCGCCCAACTACACGTATGCATTTAACAATGGTCTCCTTTTATGAAAATGACGCAATAGGTTTGACGTAAGGTAAATTTAACGAAGGATGACAGACAAATTAGTTGCGTTCGTAGGCTTCCGCGGACGGAGCCAATACATTTTTGGCTATCCGAGATGAGCCGCGTCTCGGTCAAAGGTACTGTCGTTTCGGCCATCTTGCTGAGACCTTCTTCAGGGCTATACTGCTGATGTCTATACATTCTTGGCTATCGGGGATGAACCCCGTATCGGTCAATTGTGCTGACGTTTCGGCCATCTTGCTGAGGCCTTCTTCAGAGCTATACTACTGATGTCTATACGTTCTTGGCTATCCGGAATGAGCCAAGTCTCGGTCAATTGGGCTGACGTTTCGGCCATCTTGCTGTGACCTTCTTCAGAGCAATACTGCTGACCTCCTCTTGAAAATAACCACAGAAAATAGTGTCCACCAACAAAGACCACCAACAAAGACGAAATTGTCCAAGACAATTATAAATCTCTAGCAACCAAAATCATAAATGAAGATGATCTACTAGTTAATAATGTCAAGTTCCCAGCCCTCCAAAACAGAGCTCTAACTTATATTTCATCAAAATCCAAAAGAATTCAATCTGAAAATGGAAATAATGAAATAAACAAACAACGAAAGAAAATATCTTACCTAACTGAACCCATTTACAATTCATTGAATCCAACACTGAAAAATTTTCACTAAATTGTGTACAAACAAAACATTATTTTAGAAAATTCCCTTTGTTCTAGACAACCCTGTCTCCACAGCAAAATAATTTTGCTGATGACCTCCAATCCATTACACATGTCACCTACCCATTATTCACTGAAATAGCCATCAAAACAGGATCAGTAGAATAATTAACAAGCTTAAATTAGAAATTCATCAATCAATATAATATATTAAGATACATAATATATTCATCAAGCAACATAATATATTAGAGAACATTTTCTTGCTTTAGAGATTGATATTAACACCCATGTTGAAATTGTTGCTATTTGTGTTCAAGTTCCTATCATTCTCACCATATGTGACTCTTATATTGCCAACAGTTATTTTTTAAAGTTGATGAAATACAAGATATCATCGATGAGCTTTTTAAACCATTCATCATACTTGGAGATTTTAACAGCCGCAACATAGTGTGGGGATCCAACAATACTGATTCAAGGTATAAAATAAATAATAGATAAAAAAATGTCATTGACGGAAATGAGTTACCATTTAAATACTGGACAACCCACACATTTCAATATTAGCACTGGAACTTTCAGGTCTATTTACCTAAATAATGGAAAAGATTATTGATGCTACGATAAGATGGTTTCTTGATATTCATAAGTGTATCCATGACAACCAATGCGGATTTAGACCTCCGCATTCAACCAATTCCCACCTAGTCAGTATCTGCAAATACATCCACCAAGCTGTCGTCAACAATCAACATATAAAAGCAGTCAGCCTCACATTGAGAAAGCACACGATATGGTTTAGAGTCACCGCATCTGCCCAATGACGATTTGTAATCCACGCTTCTGTGAGTTATTGTTTTATGTGTTGTTTTGCGCTTAGTGAACATAAATTTGTCTTTTGAAGTGAAAATGTAGTTAAAGATGTGATTTAATTACTAAACGTAATTTTTACCCCAATTGTTTTAATGTAGTTATTATGAATAGTTTCTGAGAAAAGGAAAAACGAAATCCGTCAAATTAACATGGGAGGGATAAGTCATTCCGGAGCATTTTAACGAGCTGTGAATATCAAGAAATCAAATTTATAATAAGACGACCATAGTAATGAGAAGCTACTTCAGAACTTCTTGAATGACTAAGCTTATAGCCTAAGAAGAGGAAGAAGGAGAAGTCCCCAACAACACTCTCTAATGACTAATGAATAAAGATCTGATCCGAGAGCTACAAGTTCTGCAAGAAGGGTGCCTATGTGAGACTTGCAGTACTTCATAATTGTCAATTTAAAATTTATCGAATCTAATACATTACTTACTGCATTATTAAATTAATTGGGCAATTCCCCAATAAAAATATCAGAACAACTTGTTTCCATTATATAAACATCCGTTGTATTGTATTAAAAAAGCAATGTTCATATACAAAGGCCTAGACATAAAAATACCTAAAAAATACGTCACTACAAACATTTTATTGCGTTAAATAGTTCGTTTTAGGGCTTTTAAACGTTCCATATTTAAAGTCCATAATTTTAAATATAAATATATCAGTAAATAGCTTTTAAATTTAGCTATTACGATTAAATAACTCATTTTATAATTCATGTTAACTATACATTTTCGCAAATCTTTTCGTTTTCCCTTATGAAGCTATAAACATCGAGAACGAAACATGGATATCTGAAACACTAGCAAAAATGCTATATATAAATTGAAACTAGCAACAAATACACCCAAAAAATTACAACTATTTAAAAAAAATTATGCAAATCGAGTACGCAAACACATAAAATTAAACCTAATATTAAGTAAACAAAAGTTTCTATGAAGTAACAATACTAAAAGGTGAGTTTAAGTTTTTATTTATTGAACATCTACAGTGATTAATTCAACAAATATACCACTACGTAATTAGAAGCAGCTTGTAATGAAGCCGAAGCAGCCGATGTGTCCGTCCTCGTCCTCTCCATGGCGAGCCAGCAGCAGCCGTCCTCGCAGCGCGTGCCGCACAACGCGTCCAATGCGGGCGAGAATGCTCCCTCGGGGGTGGGATTACGCGAGAATGCATCGGCGGCAGATTCTCGCTCATTAATATGCATCTTCAAATGAGAGAGAACACAACATACATTTCGTTAAACCACATTTAAAGTATCCTGGCGTCTCTCTAATTCAAAATTTTCAAAAGAGAATCTACAAACCAAACTAAGGAAAGTTAAGAATTTAAGGGGTCAAAAGAAAACAATATTTAAACTCAAAACATACAATAGTTCACAAACGAGCCCTGCTGCAGTATTCACAACATATACTTATTATTGTAATTTAAATTTTATTATCTGTATTCTATAAGAACGATTGAATATGGAAAGACTAAACAAAGGAGACAGAAAAGTTAAAAAGAAAAAAAATGGTTTCAAAAAGCCACTCACTTCATCTCTAGTGTGTTCGCTGAAGTAGTCCCCTGAATCCAAGTCAAGGAAGCCCTTGTTTGAGCTATTGCATGAAAGTGTCTCATTAGTTTGGCGCTCATTGTCGAGAACAATATTTTCTGTGCATGTATTAAAAAGCAAATTGACAGTGTCGAGTGATTCACGGTCATTTTCTTCATCGATTCCTTCATTGTCATGTTTATGTGGAGAAGAATTAGCCGATGATGCAACCGGAAAAGATTCATTTGCACTGTTGATCTTCACATGTTAGAAAATAAAGATATTAATTAGGTAAAAGTATTGTAAAAATGCGTTGGTTCCACTAAAATATACAAATTCAAAAGAAATTAAGGCATTTTGAAGCCTATGTAATTATTTAGAACTTGTCAATAAATCTATCATTATAAAACTACATTTATGAAGTATATACAAAGAATTTGTTGGGAAAAACTGTTAAAATTCCATTGTTTAGCACAAGACAATTCCTGCACTAGCGTATAGAGCGCATCACTAGTATTGTAATATTTATATTTTATTATGTGTACTAATTGCGAATTAGTGTATCTGGACAAATTACTGTGCTTGGAAGACTGAAACTGAGTTAAAAAGCAGAGTACGATTATATTGTGTTTTGATGAAAGCGTACCTCACAGGACTGTCAATGTGTTTGCTGGAGTCGTCGCCAGAGAGTAGGCAAATAGGCTCTGCAATGAGTTCACGGGAGAAATTCGTTCATTCTTCATATCATCATTACTTTAACATTCATCGCCGAAGACAATACTTTCTTTGGTTACTTCACTGATTTCTCCATTATCATTTTTACGCGGAGAAGAATTATAGGATGGTGCTACCGTAACTGATTCATCTGCACTGCTTTACATCTGTAAATGTTAGAAAGTTCACATTTTAATCAGTTAAAAGTACAGTAAAAGAGCTGATTTCACTGAAATTCACAAATTCAAAAAAAATCTACAATCTAAATAAAGATATAATGAAACCTTTTTAATCATCCAGATCTTGCCAATAAATTTATCATTCTTTATCTACATACTATATTAAATATATATGAAGATTTGTTTGAGAAAAACCAAACATCCGTTAGTTCACACATGACTTCCTGCACTATATAGAGCATATCATTAATGTTGTTCTATTTATATTTTATTATTTGTATTCAATGTGTTTTAATGTACTAGGATAAATTACTGTGCCATGAGGACTGAAACTATAAGTTAAAAGACAGAGAACGCTTATATTGTGCTTTTTTAAGAAAGTATGACACACGTCGTCGTGTATGTTGGAGTCATCACCAGAGAGTAAGTCAAGAAGACTCTGCCAAAAGTCCATGCTGGAAGTTGTTTATAATCTTTCCGTCATCTTGATTATCACATTCATCGTCGAAGACAATGTTGTCTGTCTGAGCAGTAAAAGGCAGTCTAACATTAGAAAGACTCTTAGTCATTATGGGAGGCAAATTAATTTACCTATTATTTCCTTTTTTTAGTTTAGAATTATCATATCTAATGTTTTCATAGTAAGCATTCCATTCTTTAAGCCTGCTTTCTAAATTCCATCGATGTAATATTAAATTCGGCTCGCTTCTGGTTTCCCTCTCGTCTTCTGCCTCGCAGCAGAATTCTTCATATCCGTAGAGAAATGGAAGGCTCCTCGTTGTAGCTCCTGCAGGCGTTGGGCCAGTTGCTCGGGAAGAATAACTCATACAAGTCATCCGATCCGAATGAACGTATGGAGTCATTGCTCCACTGCATCAACCAACGTCAGAACCCACGAAATAGGCGTCGGGGGCTCGTAGAAGTGCAGAGCCCGCAAAGGACATCCTCAGGACTCAGAGTTTGGATATCACTGTTGTAGAATTGGAGAACTGCATCCGTGAACTTCCATTTCCTCTGCCGAGGAATGTTCCACACTTTGCAGAAGTTGTCTCCAATTGCTCGTTGCGCTGGTAGAGATTTTATGCGTGATCTAATAACTCAATAGATCGCACCCTGATCGCGCTTGCTTTCGGAGTGCCTCAATGGCCTCAATCGCCTGCTGTGCCTGTTTCCTCGTCCTCGGTTCTCGTCCAGTGTTGCAATTTAGGCGGATTTTCCGACAGATTTAGCGGCTTTTGATACGTTTTCGCGAAAAAAAGGGTCTCGCAGTTAACGGGAAATTTAGCGTATTTGGTCGAGTTATAAGGAATTTTTGACAGATTCATGGAAATACGAAAGTGACCCCAAAAACATTGAAATGTTTTCTAAGCACATAATCTTAATCCGAATCGAATGTAACTAATCTTAGGCCGAATACCAATGGTACTGAATTAGTATTTGTACACATTACGAAATTTTTAAGCAATCAAAATTCGACTTTTATATAGTTTGAATTCTATTGGGGAGCTATCGGTATATCCATCTGTGTACCAAAATACGTCTTCTACTTTTGCACGCGAGAAAGAAGTATTTCGAAACGTATATCTCTTTTATTTCTGTGGAATAGAAAAAAAGAGAGAAGTAGTTGAAATATGAGTAATTGTAAGTAAGGCGTCAGAATTTTCTGAATAATACCTCACCTCACCTGATGTTATACACCAGTGTAGCGCTAAAAAACAAACACACCTCAGCTGGCAGTAATTCAAATACGAGAGCATAAATGAAAATGCATTAATATAAATTAAGAATATATTTTTCATTGAAGAAAAATTATCAATTATATAAATAGTTGTTGACGTTAAATTAAAATAATTAAATTAAATAAAAAAATGGCCGATGGAACAAAAACTTTTTGCAAATAACTGACAAAAAACGTTGTGTAACAATGTTTATACAAAAGTTATAAATAGTCAATAATAATTTAAAAATTATTATTTATTTAGTTATTTATTTATATTAATAAACTTTCGCCTTATCCTCTATAGCATGTCTATTACCGCAGCTAGAAATAAAGAGTAGAGCACACTCCAAACTGCCGGTGTAGAACAGAATTGATCTAACGTGGACAGTCTGTTTTGGGGTACTCTTGGTTCATTCAAATAATTGTGATATCAGGTAACGTTTGCAATAAGGTAAAAGTACATATAGCGTTTTTGATCTGCATGGTTGAAAGAAAAACATTTTAAAAACTGTATTTTAGAAATACCCGGGATCCTAAATAAAGTTCGTTGTAGTTAATTATAACCTCATAATGTTAATTATATTTAATATGAAAATTATATATATATATAATTGCAGTGTAGTGTATATATATACGTAGTGTATACGCCTTGCAGTGTATATATATATATATATATATATACGTAATAAGTATATAGTGGCATAATAGTGTAAATGCATTATAGGAATTAACGACACTAGTATATAAAGAGAGGTATAATTGCATGATTGGTGTTCAAGAAAACGAACGACGGTAGAAACGAGTTTTATTTACCATAAGTGCAATTATACCTCTTTATACACATGTTACGTTCAATACTTTTTCGTTTTCTTTAAAGAATGATTGTAATTTTGAGAAATTCAATCATATCTCTACCATTAGAGATAGGTTTCTGATGACGTCATATTGGTTTTGAACATGACCTATTTTAAGTAAACCTTGCAGTGTATATTTATCATCACCTTAGTGTCTTTGAGAATAATTGTGTTAGATAATTACATTTTAAAGTTGAAAATATTAAAGTTTTCCGGTTGAAATATTAGAAGAAGCTGGCGAAGCCATGAAAGCATCATTGGGGTATGTATGGGGTATTTAATTAATGTTTGAAAGGAGAAAGACGATTCAGTTCTGATTCGCACGTTTTGCTAGTGTACTTTCCAGAGCGGGTAAATAGCACTGACGATTACATTTTTTATATTTGTTGTATGCTAGGACTAAATGTTTTACATGTAATACATGTATTCATGTTAAACATTGTATATTGTTCCATTAGTCAGTTAAGTGTCAAACCAACAATGCTTATGGTCATACTCGTTTATGTGTAAAGGAGAATATCGATATTTGAAATTATAAACAATATACTTGATTTTTCAAATAAATTAAGGAGTTTTGCCGAAACAACTGCTCCCTCTGGGAGTCACGTTCAATAAGATGAAGTAAACATATCTGTGCAATATAAAGCAACTTCTGGATTAGAATGATTGATTCCAAGTATGAGTAGGTTAATATTTTCTAATTTAACCTATTTTACTAAGAATAATAACACGAATGTCTAAGAAGTAGTAATAATTATTCGTTTATAATTTTGTTTCATACGTTCATTGATTAAATATTTTTGAAGTATGTAATTTGTTCATGTTTCATGGCCGTCTAGAAACGTCTGTATTACAGATACATAATTAAACGATTTCGATCAGTGTTCTGAGTTCTGATTGGCTGTTGTGGGCTTTTAATAGCACGCATGTAATAAACACAGTGGTAATCGACGATTTTGCATGGAATTAATGAGCATATTTAATTAACGAAAAAATATATAATTTTATGAATCAAATATTCATTATCCATATTATCTTTCAGATTTTGCAAAGACGACTTTGTTGCTAAACATAACGATCTAATGAGTCATTCGACATCAGCAAAGCATGTAACTGCTATTACAGCGAATCTTTTTCACGATCAGACAGAAGATGTTATCATTCAATAAAAAGAATAATGATCTTGTCAAAGCTGAAGTGTCTGTGGCTCCTTTTGTATCTGCACATTTTCTAATTTAGATCATTTGAATAGAATGTGCCGTACAGTATTCCACGGTAGCCAAATTGCACTCGATTTGAAAATACACAGAACAATGTGCAGCGAATTTATAAAGAACTATTTACATACTCACTTCAAGGCGGATTTACTAAGTGATATAGGAAATGAACCTTTTAGCCTGTTATAAGATTAATCGAATGACATTTCTGTTACCGATTGCTCGAAATAGCGATCGTATATTATAGTTTGAAACAAGGAAACGTTTCGACGTTTTTACATTTAACATAACTGGAAGCATGCAATGCTGATATTTTATAATTCATATTATGCTGATTTGTATAATTTATACAACAATCTTTGCTATTTGCAAGCAATTCAACCGATGTCCAAAGAGTTAATAAGTGCTTAGAATAAAATCACTGGGTCCCAACAAACCTATTGCAAGATTTATCTACAAGTATTAATAAAGTCCATTGCTAAAAAAATAATATTGCCAAACACTCTACCGTCGATCCCTTTTTATCAATGTTGATAAATACCCAATAGAAGTGCTTATTTGTATTTTTATGCAGAGAAAGAAATAGCCAAACTAAAAAATACAGGAAAATTTTGCGCCAACGATATGATTTTGTAACATTCCAAGCAAAATTAAAATACTTCAGAAAATATCACTGTTGGCTCCATCAAATTATTTAAAGGCTGTAAGGCTGCATTAAATGCTGTAAATACCTTTTCCCACTCCTTGAAGAATTTAGATTAGATAGAAATTTAATTAGAAAAATTGAGAATCAGTTTCGAAATTTGAATTTAATTAGACTGACAATAGAAATACTCAATTATTTTGGACAGAAGTCTACAAATTTCGAGATGCGACTCAGTTAAATTCATTTCAAGAACGGACTGATTTTGCCATTCAAATGTTGGTGCTGCTGATGAAATTGATAAACGCTGAGTTTAAAAGATGTAAAAATGTATTATTTTTTGTTTATACAATGAATGAAGTATTATGTTTTAAAGTTTACCATTTTAATTAGGAATTAATTTTAATTAATTTTGTAAGCAATGCAGAATAATTGAATCTGAAGTTTGTTTGCAAATATGTTTTCTATAACTCGCAAACGAAAGTGTCTAGATTCAAATGTTGCAGATCTCGCGCTTTTCACTCTTTTTTTTTGTTTTTTTATTTTGAACTTTTACTCATCTTTCAAATATTTGTAGTTAAAATGATAGGAAGGGATTCTGGAACTCATAAAAACGTAAGCAGATATTCTTCTCCTTCAATACCCCCTACAGTTTTTATTGTTTTTTGTTCACTAAATAAATTAAATCAAGTAGATATCAATCATTCAAGGTGAATTCTCGGCTATCCGGGAGACGCCGCTTACGTATAAATCATTCAAGGTGTAGGTAAATGTAGATCTGCATTTCCCTACTAGCAAAACAAGGTTTCCCATCTCCATGACCGGCTATTTGAAAATATATTTTTCTTAAAAACTTCATACAATGTTGTTATCTGAATAATATTCATTAATCAAATATTTTACTGAACTACAATGTTTGAATGTAAAAAACAATTAATCGGAACAATAACTAAACATGTAAATGAGAAATAAAAAATGTTATTTCGACATTGTAAGCAAATTTGTTAATTTATATATGTT